GTGTGTGTGTGTGAATAAATGAACTGCTGAGGCGATAGAGGGGGTGAGGAGGGTGGAGAGAAAGATGGTCAGAAATATTCCCAGGATAGAAGGGATAAGAAGAGGAAACACTTACTGTGTTTTCAGCCTCGTGCGTAGGTAAGTGTTGAACAAAAACCTTGTACTCAGCTGCATGGTGTGGATACACATCTCCTCATAGTCCGGGTGGCTGGTGTAGGACTGCAGCAGAGAAAAGAAGAAGAAAAAATAAGTTATCTTAACACATCTCCTCATAGTCCGGGTGGCTGGTGTAGGACTGCAGCAGAGAAAAGAAGAAGAAAAAATAAGTTATCTTAACACATCTCCTCATAGTCCGGGTGGCTGGTGTAGGACTGCAGCAGAGAAAAGAAGAAGAAAAAATAAGTTATCTTAACACATCTCCTCATAGTCCGGGTGGTTGGTGTAGGACTGCAGCAGAGAAAAGAAGAAGAAAAAATAAGTTATCTCAAATACCTTCACAAAAACCAACATCTAGCAAAACAAATGTGAGGCATGCTAACAAAATGAGTTACTTCTCCCAATCCACATATGGAGATATTGGCCAAAAATCAACCCCAGGGTCAAATTAATTGATTTTCTATTGATGCAATATTCTTTAAGTATAACATGTCTCCCCCCCCCCCCCCTGCCCATTTATATGAGATTGACGCCATCTGATTAGTAGAAAAAAGTGCATATGATTGTGTCCAATAGTGTATTACATGCATACTTAGTATATCAATTAACTGTAATAGCGGATAGAGATTCCAGGATTATAGATGTTAAGTCATTGATCTGAGAGAGGTGAGGATTTTTAGAATTATTAGTGGTGATGAGTGATGATGAGGGATTGCGTTTAAGTAATGTTAGCATTAGTCCTATCTTCCTCTGCTCCAATGAGTCACGAGGGACGTGGGCACCCTCTATCCCGTTCTCTACTGGAACCATCTTTACGGTCACCATGAAGTAAGTATAACATGTCTCATTATTTCATACTTATAAATTGTAAAAGTTTAACTTATAAGCGTGATGTATCTATTTCCACAGGGCTCAAATCTGAGAAACAACTCATTTTGTCAGCACACGTCACAAATAGTCTGTTAAACACAGGAAAAGTACAATGAAGAAGGAAAGAATAAAAACCACGATTATAAAAAGGGACCCAAGTATCAATCTCAGTCCCAATTATTTCGCATTTGAATGCTGCGTCAAATACAGCCACTATAACACATACATTTGTGAGAAAAATCTATCATATATTTTTTTTTAAACCCTGACACATCAGAGCATTTCAGAAATGTGGAAACATAAACAATAATAGCAGCCAAAAGCAGACATCTATGCTTCATAATATACATAAAATCATTTTCATAAGGCTAATTAATTACATTTTTAAAAGCAGGGGAAAAAAGCTCACAAAAGCAGACATATATACTTTATAAAGAAAACTATAATAAGGCCTGAGGACAAAAAGTAGCCTCAACCGCAAAAAAACCCAAAAAAACCTTAAAAAAGCAGACAAATTTACTTCACACATAAATGCTTTATACGAAAAACTGAAGAATAGCACAAGCCCCCCCCACCCCACCCCACCCCCAACACACACACACACACACACACACCCCCTCATAATCCCATTCCTCACCTTGTTCCTTGACACGAGCTGTCTGACAAAGCTGAAGTACTCAGGGTTGTAGATGTCTCTGTTCTTCACAAAGGTGATGTTCTCAGCATGAATCACCTGCTGTATGGCGGCCGGCATCCGGTCCAGGAAGATTCCCTTCCGCTCTCCCTTGTGGACCAGCTCTGTTAACTCCATCAGGCTGTCGCTGTTCAGGCTCCGTTTTCTGCACATGTGAGGAGACGAGAGGGGAAACTGATGGCAGAGTCGAAAAGGACAAAGTAAAGTACACCCCCAGGCACATTGATGATAACTGCTACTATCTGGTTCTTTAGTGTGTGTGTGTGTGTGTGTGTGTGTGTGTGTGTGTG